GAGACAAGTTACCAAGTCCTGAGATTGTGAAGGGTAAGGTCGACTCGAAGGTTAAGAGGGAGGAGTGAGGGGACATGGGAGGGGGTGGAGGGGAGAAGGAGAGGTGGGGGTTGGTGGAGGAAGAGCTAGGGAGGGGGGGGTAGTATAGAGGGAGTGGGGGAGGGGGAAGGAGAGGGGTAGAAGGGGGAGGGGATGGGCAGGAGGGGAAAGGGGTGGAGGAGGAGAGAGACGAAGAGGGGGAAGGAGCGAAGGAGGAGATGGAGAAGAGAAGAGGGAGTAGGGGGAGGAGGGAGGAGGGAGAGGAGATAGAAGAGAGGGAGAGAAGGGAGGGGGTGGAGGGGGAGATGGAGAGAGAGGGGTGGAGGAGGAGGAGAGGGAAGGAGATAAGAAGGAGAGACAGAGGGGGTGGAGGGGAGGGAGAAGGATGGAGAGGGGGAGATGAGGAGGAGAGGTCCGCCCTCGCTTGCCCTAATATGAGGGAGAAGGGTGAGGATGGAGCGGAGGAGAGAGGGGAGGGGAAGAAGGAGTGGCGAAAGTGCGAGCAAGGAGAAGGAGGGGATAAAGAGGGTGGACGAGGGAAAAGGGGGATAAAGAGGAAACCAGGTTGAAAGAGAAAATAAATAAAGGTGAAGAGAGAATGGGAGAGCATTGAGGGAGACAGAGGAGAAGAGATAAAGAAGAAAACAAGCTAAACGAGAGAAGATAAAAATAATAAAAGGGAATTAGGAGAGCGTTGAAGAAGCAGGAGACAGAAGAGGAAAGATAAAGAGGAAAATAGATAAAAGAACAAGAATGAAAAGGGAATTAGGAGACCTTTGAAGAAGAAGGAAGCGGTGGAGGGAAGACAAAGAGGTAAACAGACTGAAATGGATAAGAAAAATAGAATAAAAGGGAATTCGGAGAGTGTTGACGAATAAGGAGACAGAAGAGAGAAGATAAAGAGAAAAACAGACCGAAATAGATAAGAGAAAACGAATAAAAAGGGAATTAGGAGAGCGTTGACGAACAAGGAGACAGAAGAGAGAAGATAAAGAGAAAAACAGACCGAAATAGATAAGAGAAAACGAATAAAAAAGGGAATTAGGAGAGCGTTGAAGAAGAAAGAGACGGAGAAGTAGGTGCAGAAAGTGACCTGCCTACCTGTGTGGACTGAATCCGGGTCAGTGAGGTCGGGTCGCCAGAGGGTGTCGGGTCAGCGAACAGGGTCAAGGTAACAGAGGTCAGATAGGAGAGAGAGAGAGGGGTGGGAGATGGATAGATAGATAGAGAGAGAGGGGGGGGGAGAGGGAGAAAAAGATAATTAGAAGAAAGAGAGAGAGGAGGGGGAAGAGATAGATAGATAGATAGAGAGAGTTAAAGCAAGATACATATATTTTTTTTTTAAAAAGAGAGAGAGCTAAAGAAAGGAAGAGAGAAAGACGAATCGAGATAAACATAGAATACAAAAAAAATAGAGATTAAAGAAGGAAGGAGAGAAAGTAGCACAATAAACAAGATATAAAGAGAAACAGAAGCGGCCGCCCAGATGAAGGGTGAGGCTGCCACAACGCCTTCCCCGGTGCGCACCCGGAACAGCGCCCTCGACACCCTCCCTCCCTCCCCTCCCCTCCCTCCTCCCTTCCCTCCCTCCTTTCCATCTTTTCCTCCTTGCCTTCCGCGTGTTCTTTCGCTCTCTTCCCTCCTTCCTTCTCTCCCTCCCTCCTTCTCTCCCTCCCCCTCCTTCCTTTTCTCTTTTTTCTCCACGGCTTCCGCGTCTTCTTTCGCTCTCTCCCTCCTTCCCTCCCTCCCTCCTTTCTCCCTCCTCCTTTTCCATCTTTTCCTCCTTGCCTTCCCGCCTCCTCTTCTTCGCTCTCCTTCCTTCCTTCCTCCTCTCCTCCTCCCTCCTCCTCCCTCCCCCTCCTTTCATCTTTTCCTCCTTGCCTTCGCCGTGTTTCTTATCGCTCTCCTCCTTCCTTCCTTCTCTCCCTCCCTCCTTCCTCTCTCCCTCCCTAAATTCCTTTCCCCCCCTCCTTCCTTTTCTCTTTTTCTCCTCGACGTCAAGCGTTTCTTTCGCCTCTCCCTCCTTCCCTCCCTCCCTCCTTTTCTCTTTTTCTCCTCGCCTTCCGCGTCTTCTTTCGCTCTCTCCTTCCTTCCCTCACTCCTTTCCCTCCCTTCCTCCTTTCCTCTCTTCATTTTTCTTATCTCCCTCCTTCCTTCCCTTCCCTTATTCCCCCTCACTTACTCTTTCTCTCCCTCCTCCTTCCTCTTCGTTT